AGAAGGTACCCAGGCTGTCAAGACTCACACACTGACTTGTTTTTCCTCTCCAGGAATCATAATAAAAATCACATGTAAAATTTAAGGTTCAAATGTCAGTTACAATTAAAACAGACAAAGGCGCTTTTTTAAAAAAAAAAGAAAGGCTTTCTATATTTTTTCTATATTTTTACCAGTAACACTATAAACAAAAAACATTGTTGAAAAGGTTTGTTTGTTTAAAATTTATTTCCTATGCAAGCAATAGGCTTCTGGAAATAATCTGCTCTGCCAGAATTGCTCAGAACTTTCACGTACAAGCTCAGAAAGGTGGAGAGAATAAAGAATAGCTTTCTTTTCAAAACAGGAAAAACGATTTGTAACCTCCTTCCACTGTAAAATAAAACCAAACCAAGAACAGTGCAGAGACTTCCATAACCAATGTCGTATGAAAAGCAACATTTATTGAATATTTCTGAAGGACAGCATTACTTTGAAAAGCTGTAACTGAAAATAATTCCTTTGACAGTCCAGCTGAAATATGTTTATGTCCCTGTCTACTTCGAAATCCTGTGCTAAAAAAACAGGGTGGTTTTTGCAGCTGGAGTCATGTACTTAGGATACTCAAATAATGACAAATGTAAAAAAAAAAAGAACAATTTTCTTTACATTTACACAAAAAAACACTATGCCTACTCAGTAATGTGTTCATCACATTCCTTAATTCACTGCATGAGAATTTGCATATTCTTGCACTACTTTTTAATGCTTCAGTCCAGCAATTAGCATACTGAATCATATTAAATATATCAAAGATGTCTCTTTAGTTAGCACAGTGAAAAGAAAAATATGCACCTGCAAAACATTATTTTAAACACTAATATTTTAAGAAACATTAAGTGCCATAGAAACTGTTACCTTCTTAATACACTAGACACAACAGAACTCATTAGAAGAAACACCTACAGCAGCACCATCCAACCAGTTTGATTTGCAGACATCCTGTAAATCTTTCACTGGAAAGGAAGCTCCTGTAAGGCTACTGAAATCCACTGAGGATATGTTTGGGCTCTTTTTCTAATTATCTTTCACAGATTCCCTTGCAAGTCTCTCCTCAGAAACCTCAGGATGGACCAGAAGCTGAAAGCCAGGGTCTCTGTAGTAATATTAAAAAAATAAAAGTATTCATCAGTCTGGCATGCTTCAGTCACACTGGGTGAAACCCTGACCTTAGTGAAGTGACCAGATATTTTTCATTTAATCTTTAATTCATCACAGAAATAATAAGAGTCATAAAAGGAATGTGTTCAATTATTTTCTAACACTGTTCTCCAGTACAGTCAAGTAAAGTCAAGTTAGGTCAAAATCAAAGACTTCTAAATTTCACTCTTTAATTTCTGCACAGCATTGCATTTACACGAGCAGGGGAGGGGAAGGTATTTTAGGCTACTTCATCTCTGCTCCCTGGCTGCTCATTCTACCTGACTCATGAAAGAAACCCACCAAGTGCCAGCCTCCATCACTTTGTTCTCCCAGACCAAGGGAAGTGCTCCAAAACCAAATTAAACCATGTGTCTGCAGCCATTCACATCTGCTCCATCCAGCACCGACCCTCCCAGAGACACCTCCCAGGTTAGAGATGGAACGTGCTTCCTACAACACGTGAAACACGTCGTAGCTGCACAACTGCTGCACAACACACATTTCCTCTTCCTTCTGCATTAAAGTTGCTTCTGCCTTTGATACAGGCCCATTTCAATATTAATTTTTAGAATGCTGAGCCTTACGGAAATGAGATTTAGGACTAAAAATGCAATGCCAAAGTTGAAAAAAAGATCTATCAAAAAATGCAGCATTTTCACCCCTTGCCACTGAATAAATGGAATAGGCTTAGTTTAATCCCTGCAATCATCCTTAGAAACTACAAATAAAAAGAACGTTGTTAATTAAAGAAATACGGCAGCCACTTCCTAGTTGCAAACTCTAAAAAACAACCTTGAAGCAATTGTAATAACTCCAGCATGGCTCATACTACAAAGCATTTCATTCTCAATTTTGTTCAATGTGATGACTCACGCAAGTCCACCACTGTAATGTGTGTGTCAGGAACTCAGTCCTGGAGATTCTTCATTCTTATTTGTTCTGATATGCTACAGGCATGCTATTACAGTCAAAAAACGAGTTATGTACCAAAAGGAGGTTTCAGTGAATCTCTTCAGTAGTCATAAAAACATCGCAAAAATACATCACTAGCATCCACCTTCATGACCCACTTAAAAATAGTCTCACGTTCTTGCCAAAAGCACAGCGCTGCCGCATTCCAGGTTTTCACCCTAAAACTGAAATACAATATACTGCTATGCCCACAGCATATTGCTAATTATACCCCAAATTGAAAGTATTTAGCTTCTATATTTTCACCTCTTCTGCTCAGCTCATTATAGCATTCCAGACTTTATAATTTAATGCATACTAATATTAAACCAGCAATGTATTTCAGAAAAGCAATAAACTTGGCTTGTCACAGTAGGTTTATCCAAAAGAAAAATACGTAGAGGTATAAATCACCATTTCTGGGAACAAGACAACACAATACCATCCTAGAATTGGTCAGTGAAACAGACAGGCTCTTACAATTTTAAGTCAATCACATCCCTTTGGGCACATTCCGTACAACAATTGTAACTTTAATCAGACTCATATACCAGGACATGCTTGCAAAATCAACATTTTCCATTGTGTAACATGGTACACAGAAGAGACAAGGTTGCTGTTGGCTTGCTTTTTAACATGAGAATATGAAAACAAAACATTTACTCCTCCTTATGCAAGTATTAGCAAACAGCAGTGCTGTTCAATGTTTTCTTTCTTTGAAAGAATCTTTCATCAGACAGATTTAGAAGGGAAGGGGTTTTTCTAAAGAAAAAGTCTCTTTATCCATTCAACTATGTACCTTTAACAATTAACAAATCCTGTATTACAGCTTTATTGCTACCAAAATTAGTAGGATTCTCCCATAAAAGGATAACATCCAGTAAGCCTGGTGAAGAGTGTTGTATAACATCACCCTGTCAGGATGAACTTTCAGCTACACCGATGCTCAAAAACACATTCCAGCAGGAAAATCCGGTAACAGCCACAGACTCATGACAGCAATTTAGTTGCACCAAAGCCACCTCTCCTCTTCCTTCAGAAAGACACATTTTTGACCCCACCACACCAGTTTTGTGGTGCCATTCAAAGAAATGAATTCGTAGTCTCTATTCTGGTCATTCACATATTTTCATTCACCAGAAAGATTAGTTACAGAAACACAACTCTTTATTAACGACAACCTTGACCCAGAACATTTTAAGCACCCAAATAGAAAAAAAAAATCACATGGGATATTTTCATTTCAGTCTCTCTTGTACCAATCACTCTTAGGTGAAAGGATGTACAAACAACACAGCTCAATCCACTCAGCAACAATGCAGTGACTCAGAAATGGCCAACTGAGTAATCAGAGCAAAACTAGCCAAAACCAAAGGGCAGCATGCACATCAGCATCTTCTCCACTTAGCTGGCACGTATTTAAACCTATTCTTGCATTTCCACGTTCTGCAACAAGACTTCCCATTCCCATAAGCAGCATTTCCTCCATTGTTTCCAAGACACATATTATGCAAAAGGAGAAAAACAGGTGCCCAGGTTCACAGAAAATTTAGAGAAGAAAAAAGCGGTCATTGTATCATACATTTCAAAAATAAAATGCAATTTGCAGTCAAAAATTATACTGACAACTAGAGACAGCTCAAAACAAAATGCTGGATCCAAACTTCATTCTTCCCTTTAGGAAATGGTGGCTGTAATTTTCTGAATGAACCCGATTCAAACATATACATCTATAAATATAAAAATCTATATAATTTACTACGCACCCGCACACCTGCATACAAAGTGTATGGAAGCAATTATTTTAGACCAAATATTTATTCCCTACTCCCTTTTTTTCCTCAAAAAGAGGGAGCTTTTAGAATAACTCTTTATAAAAGAGTTATCAACGTTATTAAAAATCACCAACCACTAAATCTTGAGTGCAGCTTATGTCAAAAGGGCAACATATATTAGAGTCCAAGGAATAAGTAGCACAAAAGACAAGAAAAACCACACTATATCTTTGGTTTTCATTTCAGTACATACAGCGTCATTCCACCCACTAACCTAAGGGCAAAGCTTTAATTTGCACAGATTCTTTTCAAAGAGCACATCCAAATGCAGCCTAACTAAAAAGCAGAAACAAACAGGAGTTCTCCCACTTGTCCAAGACACTCTGTATGCTACAGGGCATCATCTGCACTTGCCATGAAGCATTATGGAAAGGTGCCAGGAAGGCAGTAAAGCACAGCTGAAATAATCAGCTTTTACCAACAGATTTATCCCTTCCAGAAAAAATAGGTGGAGAAGTTTTTGTGGCATCATAGTCAGGACAATGCCTTGCACTCTGAAGTTACAGTATTTTACTGCAAGGCATCTTTGCATTTTTCTGAGAAGTCCCACTTGCCCCTTTTCCTAATAAAATTAAGTTTTTCTAGAGATGGCAGCTATCCCCTGCCACAGGCCAGTCCAGTTTGCAGCCTCTGAAAAACTGGCAGACTTCAACTGACCTCATCTCCCACTCCCGTGTCTTTCCATTAGTCTTCCAAGCCAGACTTTAATACTGGTAAAAGCAGTCAACCATCACAACTTTTAACTCCCTTAACACACATTTATTGAATTTGCCTAGAATCTGAGAGGTGCTGGGGAGTGAAGGAGAAAATATGCCAAACCACAACCAGACCCATTTCCAGAGAAGCTCTCCACCATCAGCCTCGTGTGCCTGAATTTACTAGAAAGACTCCAATAGATCCCAATCCCATTTGGATTAGTCCTGAGCCTCCTTCATACTACCCTGTAAAATTTAAAGCAGAAATACTACCAATACTAACAAAAAAAAGAGATTTCTGTAATTTCCTTTAAAACGTAACACACATTTTGCTTACCTCGCTGTTGTGGCCCCTCAAATTGAAGTTGATTCTCTGAGGGGTGTTGCGGTCCCTCCTGCAATGGCTGGAAGTAAAAGTGACGCCTACAACTCCTCTGCCATTGCCTGTTGCCAACCAGCCTTCCTCATAGTACCGCCTCCTGCACACCGGTTTCTCCTTCTCACTTTTGGGGACTCTCCCTTTCCAGGAGAGGCAGAGGATGTTGGAATCGCTGCAAAGAACAGGCCCATGTTCCACGGCTGCATACATGCTTTTTAAAGATTTTATTTTTTGACATAAGAAAGTAATATGTCTAGTGCACAAAATTTAAATCAATTTTTTTTTTTTTTTATTGATAAGACTGACCTGGGATAGATCATTGAAAGGGAGGAGGATGGGGTCAGTGTTTATAAATATCCACCAAATGCATAGTGAAAAATTCCTCTATAAAAGATGATGGCAGTTGGCTAAGAAAAAGTAACACTTAAAAAAAAATTCAGGTTCATTTTTGTTTCTGAGTCTGTAGAGTGAGGGTGCACTTATCCTTTGGAGAAACAGCTACTTCATAAGAGGCGCTCAAGAAATGGTTAAGTCATCTTTTTGCTCAACTTGATATAATCTTTATACAGCCTGAGATTCCAGTTTAGCGTAATGCAATTCCAGAGACAAAGAGTTGCAAATGTGTAGGTTTCAAGTAACTTAAGGCTTTTAAGATTTCCTCCAGTCAGATTTTCTTCAAAAGTTCAGTTGCAGAAATTTAAACACACGCACAGACATATATATGTATATATATGACATTCATCTTTTCCAAGCTGCCCTCTGGCATATCTTTTCCATCTGATGTATTTCTGCTGCTAAAGCTGAAAGAGATTGCATAAAGGGAAAAAAAGGCACACAAACCGTGCGAAACAGACCCGAACTTGTGCAGGCACTGGTGTGCCAGGCCAGTTGGGAAAATCCCTCTTGGTACTGAACCGCTCGTTGGACTCAAAAGTTTTTGCAATCCAAAGCCAATCCGATTTTCATTGCAGCACTTTTTTTTCCACCAGAGACCCAACACAGCCTGAACTGTTTATCACGCTATCTTGCCTGCTTTCCCACTTTTCGCTGCCACACACGAATGAAAAAGAAACCCCCTCTTCATTTATAGCAGAATCAAAAATGCTCTAAAGCTTTTGGCTTTCAAAGCAGGTAAGTTTGCCTCAGGTGAACCATGAAGTTCTCTCTCCTCCGAAACAGGCTAAAATGTCAAGCTGTTTTTCTTAGACTTTTCCCTTTTTTTCTGCTACAAGGAATCACAGACTTTTCATCCTACTGTAAAAAACAAATGCCAGAATTAAAGCACATCAAGTAAGCACTCTTTCAAAATCTTCTAAAATTCAAGGAAGGAAGAAATAGAATCATCTAAAAAAGAAAGAGGAGCAGCATTAAAAATCTGACTTCCTGGGTTCGCTATTTCACTAGGTATTTTCCTTGCTTGTTTGATCGGATCTTTCCTTCTTGATGCTTGTCTACAGCACAGATTCATAGTTCCAGACACAACATTTGCAGCTGTACAAGAAGGAAACATATGAAGTATTCCAATTGTTTTATTTGAATAACATTTATGAGCTCAATTAATTAGTATTTATACCACACTAAGTGAAAAGAGGAAAAAGGAGAAGGAGAAAGAATATGCAAGTTTGATGACCTGGTTAACTCAAGAAGGACGACGAGGTTTGCTCAGTTCAATGCCCAGACTTGTCCCATAGTTCCTCAACTTATTTACTTCCAGTCATCATCACTCAACATATGGTCACGATTTATTAGTCCATTCACAATCTATTGAGCCCAAAGCAAAACGTGCCAAAAATTATACATTATTCCTCTGCGATAACAAAATTGGTTTCCTCTACTCTCTGTATTCTTCTGTTTCCCTCACAGCTATTGATTTAGGTTGTGGAGGTATTTCTTAGGCTTTTTCTGTGCAGAGGGTGTTTTTTCTTCCTCTTCTTGCAAACTGTTTTCACCCGTGAAGACCATGTGGAAAGCTGAACATTACTGGCAGGTGTCTTTCCATGGGTTACTGATTCCTGTGCTGTAAAGGTGCTCCATCTGGTTCTCAAATTAATTTTCATCAACTGCAAAGCTCTCAGGAATATGCAAGAATAAGTTTATGTGATGACAGAAACATGTGCGTTTTCATGTACATGCAGTGCACACACCAGCTCACTCAATCTGGTACTCAGAGCTGCATTTGCCTTTTCAGTTTAGCTTTCAGTTTAGGTAATCTTGTAAGATGCTCGTCATTCAAAGCTTGAAATCCATGGATTCTTCCAACTCTGCAAGACAAAGCACACACATACAAAAAAAAAATTAATAAAATAAGCTACAAAACAACTTAAAGATATAAAGACTAATGTTAAGCAAAGCATTATGATTAAGGGTTTTATATTGGTCTCCTATAAAATATCTATATTACATATAGATACATGCAATATTCAGACACACATATGTATTTGATACACACACAAATATAAACTACGAGATTTTCTTTTTCACTTCCAAAGTTCCCAAAACTTGACATGTATAACTAACGAAACCTATTCAAGAAGGATACATTGCAGGGGGGAAAGGGAAAGGAACCTTCTTTTGGTCGCAGTTATTGGAGCAAGATCTTGAACAAAGATTGCACGACTTTGGAATGAGGGTAGGGAAGGCAAGTCTCATTGATGGAGTAGACACAGAGGTAGAATCCAAGGCACACAAAAAGAATTACAGAATAGCTGAGGGTAGAAGGGACCTCTGGAACTTATCTGGTCCAACCACCCTGCTGCAACAAGGTCACCTGTAACAGTTGCCCAGAACTGTATCCAGGTGGCTTTTGAGTATCTCTACAGATGGAGACTTCACGACCTCTCCGGGCAACCTGTGCTAGTACTTGGTCTTCCTGATGTTCACAGAGAACCTCCTGTGTTTGTGCCTACTGCCTCTGGTCCTGTCACTGAGCACTATGGTAAAGAGCCTGGTTCCTTCATCTTCATTCCCTCCTATCAAGTGTTTATACACATCGAAAAAATCTCCCTGAGCCTTTTCTTCTCCAGACCGAACAGTCCCAGCTCTCAGATTTTCTTCATATGGAAGATGCTCCAAACCATGAAAGTACTGTGCTAAACTTAGTCTCAAAGGAGACTGAGAAAGATTCCTCCAGGGCTTAAATTACCGCTTTAAAAGAGATCTAAGGTAGTCCAAAATTAAAGCTCAGCAGTTTGAATCAATACAGATGAATTTTAAAGACTACTCAAGTCCCACATAAGCCTCAATTTTCTCCGGGAAAATATTACCCAGATTCTGTTATATACAGAAGAGTGTAAATACAGTAAGAGACCAAGCCAAAAGGCTGTCCAGGATGTTCCAGAAGTTGTATCTGAAGTGGACATATATGCACAATTAATGCATCTATACAGCTACTGCTAAAGAGAGCTCATTTAAATGAAGAGTTACATTCATGACATTCATCACAGCTGTAAAAATGGTCTTGTCTATATTATATACGGCACTGTACTAACCTCACACTTCAGTTAGTTAACTACTTTTTTCAGTCTAGCATAGATGTACAAAGAAGAATTTTTTAAAAAAGAGAAAAAGATAAGAAAACAAATTTATAGATATAAAGGCAAGGTCATAAAACAGTTTACAACACTATTCAGCTAGCACACTTATTAAGAACACCATCCATGAGGTTTGGAGAGTCACTACCAGAACTTTTCAGCATTACAACTAACCAAAGATTTAAAAATAATGGCTGCTACCAATTCTTCTCATCATAGCACAATGAGGATATGAGAAACGCCACCTAGACTTTCCAGATTTATGGTGCTTCTCAATTAAAGTCCAAAGAAAGTTCATCTAAAGGAAAATTCATAAAAACTTTCAGAAAATAATGGTTTGAAGAAGAATTTTTCCACTTATCCCATAAGCAAATGTGATCCTGTCAAGGATCAGCAGTGTTATTTCCATATACACTGAGTTCTTGCAAACAAACATCCGCATTCAAGAGTTGACATTTTATGGTAGTAGCATGTGTATTATGATGCAAGCCTTTACTAATCCTACAGAAAAACAAAAAAAACCCTGATATACTGAGAAAACAGTCTCTGAAACATCAGTTAGAGCTGTGCAAGTTAAGCGTTAAACAAAATTGTTTGAACTGTTGCATGGTACTGTGCAAGTACCATGACTTTGCAAGGGGATTTTAAAATTCAGACAACTACAGACGCAGTGGCTTTGCACAAAATCTCTATGCAATTTCTGTCCTTATTCACTGCATATAAAATTAACGAGTTTGAGAAAAGGTCTCTACTGTGACTTGGCCAATAACCTTCTCTCACTCGAGTCCAATTTACCATCACTTTCAATACCAGAGAAACCAAAGGCTTCTCCTCTTAAAAATATCATAACAGCACTATGAATGCTGAACAGGGAGAGAGAAAAACTAAAATAACTACAAAAGGAATAAAGTCAGTCATTATTCAAATACCTCTCTCTCAATACAATGCACCCTACAAGAATACCTTTAAATCACTGATTGTCAACACTTCCTTTATGTTGTACTTATATTCAGCAGACATGACCAAAAATACTTTGAAGTCTGTAGTGTCAAACACTCAAAAGATAGGCTGAATTAAGATTACATATATTATATATTAAGATTTAATTCTTTCCATTCCCCTCTCCTTCGTTTCCACCCACTTGGTATTTTCAAAGAAATAACCTAATCAAAATATTCAGATGCTAGTCTTCCCTCAAGAAAATCAGTAACTAATTTAGACACCCCTCCTTCTTCCACCATTACAGCAATCCCACAGTTCTGCTCTTTTTCACACATTAAATGAAGTGTTTTGCCTTCTTTTTCCCCACCATGAAACAGAAAGCTAACAGTAAATGCCTCTAGTAAAGCTCGCGTAAGAGCTAAGGACAAAAAGCATTACAGAAGAGCTAGGTGTTACTTGAACGACCTTACCCCAAGTCTGAATTCAGTTCAGGATCCCCATGTAAAGAGAACTTGGCCTTCCAGATGAAATTCATCCAAACTAAAGTTTTAACTGCAGATTTTTTTATAATCAAACTTTATGCATCAAAGTTTATTCAGTATGTCAGAGCAGGGCAAGGGCTAATCATAGAAATACACTGGATTCTGAAAAAGTATCTATTTTTGTTGGTAAATTATTTCTAGCACTACTAGGACACTAAATATCAACAAATTGAAGTTACCTACTTTTACTCTCACTTAAAGGGCAGCCGAAAATGTCTTTGCTCTGGATCTTCCCTTTAACAAAGGGAGATGCTACTTGAACTCATCCTCTAATACCCTTTGGAGTCTAAGCCCGGTGATGTAAAACACTTCTTAACTACTAATACCTAGTGAGACAAAAACATATTAGACCTGTGACACAGGAAAGAAGGATCCACAAGTATTTTATTTTATTTTCCTTTGAAAGCACAGCTCTTTTTGAACGCAAAACCAGCAACAAGTTATGTTTAAATTAATACCTATAATATAGGTATTAATTTAAAAAAAAAAAAAGCTTATTAACAGTGGGTCTCATATTTTGTCAATATTTAACCCATCATGTTTATCTCCTAACTGTTTCCATTAACTTATATAAAGTGTAAGTGTTAAGCCACAGTTGGACAACCAGAAAAATATTTGCTTGTTCTCATGCATCTTTCATTGAAGTCTCTCTCTTGTTGACAGAAAGAAGTTATGCACAGCCAAGTGTACCAATACTGCAGCAAGCTCTTCAGCATTTTATGTTTATTCAAAACCCCACTCTTCAAGGCTCCAGAGCAGAATATCTGAAGGTGAGGATAAAAGGAGACTGGGAGGGGAAGGGAAACAGAGAAAGAAAATTCAGGTGAGTACACTATTTCCAAATTATTATCTTCAGAAAACCAAATCAAACAAACAAAAAAAAAAGACACTCAGCCTGCATTTTGAAAATTCTGACTGCCCAAACATCATCTGGAAAGAAACATAAGCTACAGAGTCTTTGAAAAGTCAGGCTACCAGATTTCAGGATTTTTCAGCCTAACCAGGTTTCCTTCCTCTCAAACTTGCGTGAGGTCAAAGGAAACTGCGATTATTCCTCCCTTTACAGTCTAAGAAGGAAAAACTATACACACCACTATCCATGAAGATAACAAGATACTATTAAAAATGCGAGACCATGAACTTGCATTTTGTTCTGAAGGATCAAACCACAACCGGTTCTGCAAAAGCTGGTAGCAGATGATCCCACCAGCTATCAAATGATGACTGTGGGAGTTATCTTCAAGATTACTGCTGAATGTGACAGGCACATTCTGTAACACCACTATATTACTATACCGCTAGTCACTACTACCACTGTAGTCACTATATTAACAGGTTAAGTACTACAGAGCTAGAAGCTGGCAAGATGATACATTTTGTTATTTAATGCAACTTATAATATAACACAAAATATTAAATAATCCTATTCAAAAGGAAACAAAACGACTCAACAAAATTAACCACTCAATTCCTAAAAGGCTGAAGTACATACAAGAAAAGAATTGGTTTGGAGGTAAAAAAGGGCCAATTCCCTAAGGAGAAAATGTAATTTTGGCCTGAATAAGTGCTAGTTTTCCTCTTCTTTCACTCGTCTGTTCTAATTATCTTTGCTCTATTCACCTTCCATTGTGGTACAAGTCATTGAGGTCAACACCTTTCTTTCATATTACACAACAATACAAAATTAATTTGAAGGACATGATTCTAAACAAATACCAATAAGCTGACCAGTGGTTGCAAAAAATGTTCTTTGCCCCCTAGAAAAAGAAAGGAAGAGTGGAGAGTGGAAAAAAAAGAAGATGCTTGATTTTTGTTCTGTTTGTTCTGAAATGCTTTTCTCTCCACAATGTTTGTCCTTAGGTAATTCTAGAAGCTTTTCCCCTGCTCGGGGACAGCTGCGTAGCCCGGGCAAGACAGTCAGTGATGCTGATCAGAGATGTAAAGAGATCTGTAACCCCAGCACAGCTGCACTGAAACAGATACGTAGCAAAGGTATAATGCCAGGCACTGTAATAACAACTGCCAGCCCATTAATACAGACGCTGTAATGATAGTCATATGCACCTATATATCGTTAAGCAAATAAAACTGTCAGAAAATGTATTTGTCAGCATATTGAGAGAAGTGGAGCTTGTGTTAGTGGCCGTTCAGCAGACATTCATCAGGAATATTGACAACATTTATTTCAACGCAATACCCCAACAAACTCACAACCACCTCCTCCAAATTACACTCTCAGAAAAGTGA